ATGTGTTACCTTTCTAATCTGTACCTGCCCATTGAAAAAGTCGGATTGAAGTCTTCCTATTTCGTTTTGATGTATCTAGTCTCTGCTCTCCAGGGTGATTGCATTTGCATCCCAGGCTCTGAGCTCTCAACCAATACGTAATGTAGGGCGGCTTTATAGGTCTTACAACTTTGTGTTCGAACCCTTAATAATTTAAAAAAATCTCGAGGAATTAAAATTCTTATTTGCAAGTGCTTTGTACAAATATTTTGGGTACATCAAATAATATATTATATAATAAAAATAATTTTTTATCTATTTTAAAATTTAAACTTAACATCTCTAATTTAAAATTTTAAGTTTTCAATCAGTTGAAACATCCTTTTTTGGAGCTATAACAACATTTTTTTTTTGGTAGTATTATATCTAAAATTATAAATTTATTATAAATAAATTAATTTTAATTATTGTTTTAAATTTTTTTAGTAATTTTAATTAATATGTTTTTTTTATAGGAAAAAACAATAAACCTAAGGTTACAACACAAAGCAGTATAACACAACACCAACAAACAAATAATAAACCCGCTACCTATGAATTATATTAATGAACTGTTTGGTATAATGATTAAATTACTCTATCTTTCTTAAATAATTTTTTTTAAACTTTTTTTTCCGTATTAAGAATTTAGGAACAATTCATGTTTTTACTTATATTACTTTTAAAGAAAGAGATAAAAATAAATAGAAAATTTTGGTAATAAGATAGATAATTAAAGCTAACATATAATAATTGGATTAAAGTAGGAAAAAAAATTGTCTCACCTTAAAAAATTGAGAAGGACAATGATTTAGAGAAACTTTTTTCTACTAATTTTTTGTATAACTTTATATGATATTTAAATAATTGACTCTTTTTTATTAATTTGTGATACGTGATATTGAGTGCATTAACTAACTTAATGACATATAGAAGTTATACAAAAAGGTTATTCTTATATCACTATCCTTTTTTTTTTTTTTTGATGAATTAACATTTTTTTATTAGAAAAGAAAGTACAAGGGGTACTCACCCATGCATTACACCAAGAAAACCAGTAAGGATTTAAGAGTCCATTGCACAATGAACTGGGAGTTGGCATTAGTCCACAAAACTAAACTTAGCAGAGGTAGAATTACCTTTGATCTAACAAAATGTTTGAGCTTGGACTAAATCAACCAACTTATTTTCATCCTAAGACTATTTATCAAAAGCAATACTATTTTTGCTAAACCAAATGCACCAAGCAGCTGTTGAAATTGTAAGTTTCCAATAACTTCTTGCTTTCCTGGGGACCTATAGTGAGCTGAGTTGATGGAGCATGGTAGAGGCATTGTCAGGAGAGACAAAAGAGAAACCCCACCAATAACAAATTCTACTCTAGAGATATTGAGACCGTCTACACTTAGTAAAGACATGATTTACATCCTCCAAATGTGCACCATAAAACACATAGTCTGGATTAGTTGTTAAGTTGACTCCTTTAAGAGGAAGGTTGTCCTTAGTAAGAAGATAGTTCAAGAAGAAGCACCAAACCAAAAAACTAACTTTAGAAGGCACCAACAAATTCCAGATTAAGTTACAAATGCTTTCATTGAGACAAGGAGAAGAACTGTCAAGAAAATTGCATGTTGACTTTGCAAATTATCTTGATGGGCAATGTGCTTAATTAAAACTGTCATCCTGTTGTCAGATATATCAATAGACTTTAAAGTACTTTCTACCCTCATATATTCATCCAACTTTCTTCCAAATGGTGGGTGACGCCATTTAAAATGCCATCCCTCACCTTTTGGTGGTTTGAAATCAATGATTGATGCTTCTTTATCAATGGAAAGGTTAAACAAACGTGGGAATTCCAACTTGAAAAAGGAAATGACGAGCCATACATCTATCAAGAATCTAATTCTTGTTCCATCGCTGATCTGCTTGGGGAATCCACTAGTGAAGCATGTTTTTTCTCTTTCATTTTCCTTGCCAATAGACAAAATATCTTTCCAAATAGGAGATATTTTAGAGGATGTACAATTAGGTATAGATGCATTATAATCTTCCTCATAATATTTGCAAACAACTATTCTTTTCCATAATTTATTACTCTCATCAGCATCATAGAATTTGCCTCACCATTTGCTCAAGAGGGAAATATTTCTAATTGCTAAATTTGGGATACCTAGACCACTTTTGGATTTTGCAAGACGAACCTTATACCAATTTCCAAGTAATTTTTTTTGGAATCATTTGAGCCCCCCCACCAAAAATTCTTTTGAATTTGGACAAGCTCGTTAAGAATGGCTTTAGGAACCTTAAATAGTGAGAAATAAAAGTGAGGGAGAGCAAAGAGTATCAACGTAAGAAGCATGAGATGGCCTCCAAATGATAAGAGTTTGCCTTTCCAAGATGCCAATTTAGACCAATACTTCTCCACCACTAGTTTCCAAAAACTAATACGATGTGGATTACCACCAACACGAAGCCTAAGGTAAATAAAAGGCAAACCCCCATGTTTACAGTTTAGGGTTAGAGTTGCCATGTCAATCCACTTATCATCCACATTGACTTCATAGAGGATGCTTTTGCTGAAATTAATTTTGAGTCTTGACATGATCTCAAACCATCTCATAAGGAACTTTAGCAACTAATAAAGCTCATAGAAGCTTCACTAAGAAGGGTGGTGTCATAAATAAACTGTAGGTAGGATATAGAAGTATTTATATTAATAACCATCCCTTTAAAAGGATTTTTCCTCTCTACCTCAACAAACAAAGCATGCAACCCTTAGGTGGCAATTATAAATAAATAAGGCAAAAAGGGGATCACCTTGCCTTAACCCCCTTTGTATACTGAATTCCTTAGATGGGCTACCATTTACAAGGATATAGACAATAGTTGAGGATTGGCACTTCTTTATCCAATTGTGTCTTTTTTTACCAAACCCCACTTGTGTGTGCATTGAGTCAAGATAGTTTCAATCAACAAAGTCAAAGGATTTTTCAAAATCGACCTTAAAGATAATGCCCTTTGTTTTCTTAAGTTTCATATTATTCACAAGCTCATTTAGAGCTAATACACTATCCACAAGATTTCTCCCTTCCATGAACGCAGATTGGCTCATACTTGTCACCATACTGATTACTTTTCAAAGCCTATTAGCAAGAACTTTGGCCAATATTTTATAGAGGTAACCAACCAAACTTATCAATCTAAATTCTTTTAGTGAAATGGGATTTTTTGTTTTAGGAACCAGAGTAATATAGGAGGCATTCAGACCTTTAACCATTTTCCCATTCTTATGAAACTCTTTAATGAAATTGATGACATCTTCTTCAATTGTGCTCCATATTGATTTGATGAAGTGAAAGTTGAAGCCATCAAGTCCTGGTGCTTTATCACTAGCACAAGAAGAAACTGCTTCTGTAATCTCCTCTTCAGTAAATTTTACCTCTAGCATATACTTGTCTTCCTCATTTAATTTGATGAAATGTAGGCAATCCATGGGTAACTAAGGTTAGGGTTGGCAAGAAAATTAGCTCTTGAAGTGTTCCATTACAATTTGTTGACTTGCTTAGGGTCATCAATCTAGGAATCTTGTTTATTAATTCCATGGAGCAAATTCTTTTTCTTTATCCTATTGACAAATCTATGAAAGAACCTCGTGTTAGCATCCCTATCTTTAATCTAAATTGCTTGGATTTTTGCCTTTAAAGACTCTCATTCTTCCTTAAGCAATGCCAGAGATCAACAAATCCCTCTTTCCTTTTTAACAAATCCTCCTTTGTTTGGATCATAGTCCTCACACTTGAAATCAACAAGTTCAACTTTCTTAAGGCCTCTTTCAATTGATTGTCAATATTGCCAAACACCTCCTTATTCCATTTCTTAAGACGTTGTTTTAGAAGTTTAAGCTTTTGTTTGCATTTGAATCCCCAGTACCCATTAATCTCAAAAGAGCTCCATTGCTTCTTAATCATAAAACCAAATTTAAGGTGTGAAGTCCAGCTATTTTAAGACTTAGAGGTTTTTGGCCCCCAATCATGGTGACTAGAACATAAACTGACATGGCAATGATCGCTAATGCTTCTTTTTATTGCTAGTTGAACATAAGTCTCCCATATCTCTTACTAGTTTTCTGAAAGTAAAAATCTATCCAACCTACTGTGCACTAATCCATCATGCTTATACCAAGTAAATTTTCTATTTGATAGGGGTAAATCAACAATGCTATTTTCTTTAATCAACAAATTAAAATCATCAGAGCTAGGCTGAGATATCATCTTACCTTTTCTTTCATGCAGACCTCGAACACAGTTAGAATCACCTCCTATACAAAAAGGACCACATCGACTACCAATTTGAGATGAGATGTCATTTCAAAGTTTAGCTTGACCTACTGCATTACAAGGCCCATAAATATTTAGAAAACAACATATGTACTTTTTTTCATCCCATAGACCTTCTACACCTAAAAACCCATTGCCATCAAACACTTCATTTACAAGAACTATGTAAATTTATGAGAACGAAAAACTAGAAACCTGCAATGGCTGCATTAAGATCCGTCTTCTAGAATAAATTTGGATCCCAAATGCAAATGAGTCCTTTAGCCTTGCCAACTGAGCCTTTTGCACTGTAATACCCCAAAATTTCAAGAACAAATAAGTGTGAGTTAGGGACTTAATGGTGAGGAAACATTATTAATGGACCTAACCATCAGTTTTCCAAACTTTAAAGGGGTCAAAAAGGTGTTTGGATAAGGCCGGATGACTCATTCCTTTTTATCTTTTTCTTCTTTCCTTCTTTCTTTCTAGCCATTTTCACGTCTGTTCTGTTTTCTTCCCTTCTGCAGCCAAACACCACCAGCCTTCACCAACACCTACTCCTCCTGAAAATTGGTAAGATCCTAGTAAATTCTTTCCCTTGTCTTGTTAAATAACAAGATTTAGAGCTTAAAACTCTCTCCCTCAACCCAGGAATCCCGGATCTGCTCTGCTTCTCTACTTCATGCCGCCGGCCATAACTGGGTATAAGCTCCCGTTTTTCCTGGTAAAATCAGCCTAGAAACTCCTCTTTTCAACCTTGATTTATGTTGGGTCACTCTAATCTTGTTGTTCTTTCAATTACTAGTGGCCCCGTGAAAGTCCCCTAATTTTTTCCCGTCGGCTCTTCCCCATACCGCCAGCTCCAGCCTTGCTTGCTGAGCATTTTTGGTAAGTTAGCTTCTCTAATTTTTGAAAATTGGTGGGTTAAGTGTTGATTTGTGAGTTTAAGTGGTTGTATGAAATGGGCTTGGGTTGTCCGAAAATTCTGTTGAAATAGGGATGAATTTTGGCTATTTGAAAATGGATTGGTTGATGATTTAAGTAGAAAATCCTTAATTTGGCTGTTGTGTGTGTCCGAGAAAAAGGGAGGAAAAATTATGTGAATTGGCCTTTCGTCAAGGTCGGTTCTCCCAAATTCCTGTCCATTAGTTTGAGAAATTGTATATCTGTAATTGTGTAATTGTGTATACATAGATATTAATTGGGAACATTGTGATTAGGTCCTTGATTGTCCTGTGGCCTTAGCACTGGGATTAGGCCTTCTGTTCTGTGTAATTAAGGTAAGTAAATTATGGTAAAGCCTGTAAATTTTTGAAGCATATTTTAATTGTTTTCTGAGATGGTAGCGAGGTTTAAATGGATTTATTTGCATTTGAGCATGATTAAAAAGGGAATTTGAACTTTTATTATTTTCCTTCTTTTCTAGAATTGAGCATGCCCACATGAGATTCTTCGGTTTATTTTTTGAAAGTGAGAACGATTGTGAATCGTGGTTTCTGTAAATCTTGCTTGGTTTTGTCTCCAATATGGTCGTGTAATCGTGACCTCGCTAGTGGGGGGGTTACAAACACTAGCACATGTCGACATGTTCGTGATAGAACCGGTTCGCTCGTGGCCCTACTAGTGGGGATTATACACTAGTACTCGTGTGCCTGCCAGTGGGAGGTTTATAACACTGGCCATGACTAATAGAGGAGACCACTACGTGATTTTATTTTGCATTAATGATTTGTTATTGAAACGCTCTGTTCATGTTTCAACTAATTATTTGGCATGCTTTAAACTTTGATTCCGGGCACCCATGTTTACTTACTGAGATATTTCTATCTCACGGTTTCCTTGTCCACCATTTCAGGTAGTGAGACCCGACGCGTGGGAAGCCCGGGGGAGTGACGAGTTAGACGGCTAGGCACTTTTGGACTTAGGTTTTTGTAGCTAAGCCGTTAGTCACCCATGCTTGACATAGAAAATTTTGTGTACAGAATTTAGTGTTAGTCATGATTGTATATATGAAGTGATAAATTTTGTACATTCGACTGGTAACTATTTGGTAATTAAAAGGCTTAGATCTGAATTACCTGAATTGCTAAGTATGAACTCAGTAAGTTCCGAGCCTTATGCATTTGTGGGACCCTTTCACAAGTGCACGACGTCTGTCGCGCCTCGAATTCGAGTTTTGGGGCGTGACATGCACGCTAATCAAACTCGCTTTGTCCCCAAATTGATTTGCAAACTTGCTCATCAATAGTCTCTACTTTCAATTCTTGGATCATTAAAAAATTAATCTATTCCCTAGCAACAATACTTTTTAGTTGTTTTTGCTTAGTATAATTACCAAGCCCCACCAATATTAAATGATACAATCTTTATTGATTAAGAGATTTTGGTGGTATATAAGAACATAATTTAGGGTAAATGATAGCCCAAATCACGTTCCTTCAATTCACATAATTTTGATGCAAATACTTCCTCATTTTTGATGAAGTATATCCCTAGACGCTTACTAAATTCAATAAATCTTCTGATGTCTATTTCATCCACTTCCTTTATTGTCAGTCTATTCCTTTTCTCCATAAAACTATCTAAGAAAGAGGATCCAAAAGTCTTTGAATTAGTTGGCAGATCCTTCTTATGTTGTTTTTGCTTAGGTGATTTGCTCCTTATCCCTCAATGTAACCCTCTGATGAATTAGAGGTTTTCAGATTGTTGGATGTCAATTTCTGGTGTTATGGATTGGGGTATATCAAAGGGACAATGAGGTATATCCTCTGGGCATTCATGGGCCAAAAGGGTATCTAGGGCCAAACTAGTGGTAATTTGGATTGGGTAGGTGTGGGCTTGTAGTGGACAGTTTGGGTTAATTTGGTTTTTTGGCATAGTATCTTTAATTTAAATCTAAAGAAGATGAAGAGATTAAGTTAGACAGTTTATAATTGCCATAGTCGTTTTCTAACACCAAGCCTTCAACACTTTTTTCGTCATTTTTCCGTAAGTTGGTTGAAGCAATGTTTAATGCAACATTCATCTTGAGACTAGCATCATCAGTAGGTGACGTCATTTTTTCAACCAATGGGTCATTTTCAAAAAGAGGCGGTTTTTCAACTTCTTCATCAAAGGGGAGACTCTAGCTGTCGAAGTTTTGATCAGAATCCCCATTAGAAAAATCTTCAAGATCAGATTCATCATTGCCATAAACCTTTGTTGCTTTCAACCACCATGGATCAGTTCACCATCTTTCTATTAAGATTTTCAAGGAATGAAATCGATTCCAAACTTTTAATCAGTTTACCTTGTCAATTTGGTTTGCATCAATGGTAATAATTAGAACTCTAGTAGTATCCAAGCAATCCTTGTTAAGTGTGGATTGATCCCCTTTATGAAGGAACCCAAAAGTTCCCAATTTTCTCTAAGGATTTCTCATTCTAGACATGTAGGAGAAGACTTGAGATTCTAATCCAAGCTAACCTCTCTTCAGCAACATCAGTTGGGCTCTAAACTTTTAGTTTACTAAACCACATACTCCACCAAGCCTTTTCATTCTCGATAAATTTAGCTGCCAAGTTTTTCTCTTTAGTATGGATTAGAACTTTACAACCACCCATTGGTGTAATTATAAGAGAGGTGAATCCATTCTCCCATAACTCCTATTAAAGGCCAGGTATGAGGCTTGGACAATGAACATCACTCGTGGCAGAATTTGCAAGCCAACTTAAGTCCACCATATCATCTTCCAACTTCATAATAGAGTTTGTAGCTTCTACCCTTTTTTATATTTCTCAAATTAGACCTTGGTTTGGCTAGTGAGATAACTTGTTTGGATGGCATAATTTGGAAGGGTTGGGTAGCCCTTAAGGAGAACATATGTAAAGAATGTCGATTTGAAGGTTTTTGGAGGTGGAAGGTGTGAGGTGGCTTTTAGTATGACTAGTTAGGCTTCGTGTCAGTGGCTAGGGTCACTTTAATCTTCTCAATTCCAAAACTGATCATTTTAAGTGATTTCTCCAACTTGCCCTTATCTTTGACTTCTGAGATCTTCACAAATCCAAATCTATTACCTTTCTTGTCCTTTTTTTTAGGGGTAAACACATCCACAATTTTCCCCCATTTAGCCCCGTAAGTTGTGAATAGATACCATAATTGCTTAGGAGACCAGTTCTTAGGAAAATTTGTGAATAGATAAGGGGTGACATTTTTTAGAAGTCCATGATCAGACATTGGCAACTTGGAAGATAAAGATCTCTCACTTGTTGGTGTAGTCTTGCCTCTTATTGTCAATCCTTGTTGCTTCTTCTTGCTGCTTTCATTTTCATTGCTTGCCATCATTCTTGAACTATACGTATCAATACCTAATTCAAAAAACAACAATTGGTTTGTGATAAATTTTAAGTTCAAAATAATAGTTATTTTAGGATAAAGGAAGTGATAGTTAGAATTTTTTTTTTAATAAAAGATAGATTTCATTAGGAAATATCAATGATTAGTCTAAAAGTAGGAAAAACGAAGCAATATATAATCATCACTAATCCCACTCAACACTCACCAAAATTTTATGTTGATTTAATACCATAATCCACTATAAATAGCTTGGGGAGTCCTACAAACCCAAACTACCATATGCACTAGCTAAGAACTTAATTATTCTTATAAGTCCTAACCTCGAAGATGAATGGCTTAAGGAAGTCCAACCACTGAGTTATTTTATGCCTTACCTTTATTGAAGGAGACTAAATCCAAAGATGGGGATACTTCCCACCTCCCATAATAAGCAAAGGATGCAAACCTTTTTTAGGTCCATACTTTCCTAAAAATACCTTTCCACTACATCAGATACTCATCCTTAAGTTTTGAGATTTTATCTCCAATCAAATTTAATCTCACTCCATTAAGGGAAGGTCTTCCCTTTTAGAAAATTATATTAAGATTGGACCTCTCAATCCCTAAAATTCCTAGTTTCACTATCAAAACACTCCAACCAACTAAACAACTCATCATCCTTATGAATTTGGTTGTAAATTGATCCCTTGCCAAAAGCCTTGTACAACAAATGCCACCTCTCATTGTCCAAACCTTTTTGCCACCCCCATTAGAAGTAGGATTGTCATAGCAAGCCATTCCTTTGAACCAACAATTTGAACAGCAACCAAAGAGGACCTTGCTTGCATAACACATTTGCCTTCACATTCGAACCATTGGAGCCAACAAAGCTTCCTCCGATTCCACCAACTTCTCTAACATCAATTCCATCCTCCTCTCCCTCCACCACCAATCAAGAGCTTGTTACCATCCCATAATTTGCTCCATGTAGCCTCTAGGCTTGTGCCATCACCACAGCCAAACCATTGCCAATTGTCCCTGCTCCCTCATCAATCTCCAGCCAAGACAACACTATGCCTTAGACCTTTGTAAAACTTGCAATTCTAGACACACTAATTGGGCACAACAACCTTCCATGGAGAGCCATACCACCGAGCAAGGAGAAACGATAATAAGAAGAGAGAAAAACAACCAAAATCCCCCCACGAGAAGAAAATTTTCCTCCCAAAAAGAGACAAAATCAACCTCCTAAAACCTTAGTCCCACATCACTAGTGGCTCAATTCTCAATATAATTTACTTAATAGTTAGTTATTTCATATAACTAGATAGTTGATAATTATTGTTATTAATAATTTAAATTTTTTTATTTCTAAGATTAAATAAAGGTGTTAAACACTTTTTTAAACTATTTTATCAAACATCTTTATAAATGATAATAATATCAAAAATGCTTATTACTTCCATCTTATAATTCCAAGGATTTGTTCTACTGATAAACAAGTATTATCTTATAAGTTAAATTCTAAATTTAAGTCTTTAAGCTAGTGCCACTTATTTTTTCAAAATAAATCTATGGTTCTATATTGTACCCAAAAAAATTAATTTTTTTTTGTAAATGAATCAAGTTGACATATGAGGTACATTTTTAAAATTGTTTAGAGAAAAATTAATCTTAAAATACATAGAAACTAACCTAAGAACATCTAATAATAAATAAAAAATTTCCTACTTGCAGTGGAACAAAAGTTAATACAAAGTTTGAATTGTTTACAAAAAAAAAAAAAATGCTACTATTAATAAAAGAATCTTGTTTTACGATTTAGATTGCATCAGACCATAAAACATGGACCATTGGATAGAAAAAGCCCTAACTATCAAGTGACTCACCTCTTATCCAATAGTTAATATAATGCAGTTTAGTATAATTTAAACTATACTACACTTTTTTTTATTAATGAAAGGCTTCTCTTTTCATTTTCTATCCGTTTCATTTAATAGCAATTTCATCTTTTTACATTGGGACTAATATCTTTTAAATCAATTACTTAAATTTTATTAATAGAAATGTGGCCAATTATTTAAATAGTTTGGTGATAATATTTTTTTAGTAAAAGTAAAAGATTCCAAAATAGTTTGAATCACATGGCATTTAGGTGGGGTGAATTAAGAGATCAAAGAGAATTGTCTTCTATTATATAACCCAAGATAAAAAGAATAAAAATGTGATATTTTATAACTATATTGATAAGAGGTGGACTTTCTTATATTAGAGTGGTCTTGTCTCTATTAATAATTATAAAAAATATGACTCAAGGAGTTGTAACTTAGTTAGTAAGGGAGTTTGCTCTCTATTTTATTGACTAAAGTTCAATCCTTTGGAGAGGTCAATAAAGAAGTAATTGTTCCTAAGTTCCTTTGTCTTGGTATGGATAATCTGTCTTTGATTGAACTAAAGAAGGAATAGTATCAAGGTAAGCGCAAGTTAACCTAAGAACACCTTGAACCCTAAACAAAAAAAATAATAAAAATAATTATAAAATATAGGTTAAATCCACACTACACAGGTTATAAAATTGTAAACTTATTTACAATTTCCTCACCTAAATTACGTTCAGTTTTAAGAATGCTAAATTCCTATTTAATTGAAAATGTTTACCTTTTTACGTTGAATTTGTACATGTATGCATGCATCTATATATATTCAAAACCTACGACCTTGACCAGGCCATGTGCGTGCATATTTTTCACTTAATGAGTACAAAAAATGCCTTGCAACCTGCACTCACCCAGATTAGATAGTAGTTGGCTTCATCTAGCTGAGTCACTGTCTAAGCTAAGAGGAGCTTTTTTTTTTTTTTTTTGCATAGCAAAGGTAATTTATTAAGATTAGTATGGATGTACAAGCAGTACTCCACCTAATTACTTACACAAGAACTGAGAAGGAATAGGCTACATTTGTTACTCCTATCTTTCAAACTATTCTTCTCTTAGGCTTACTCTTAACCATTCGTAAGACAAGCTATAGGATTACACAAACCAATCTGAAAGATAAAAGTGACAACCAGCCTTACTTGATTTAATCCAAAAAAAAAGATCTTAATTGAATTAACTCCAGCAGCTTACCCATGTTTGTTTCCTGGCCTTGAAATATCTTTCTATTCCGCAGAAGCCAAATTGACCAGATCACTGCACTCCAGATGCAATCCCATCCATTTTTGAGCCGATTATCATTGGTCCATGCCTCAAGGTGGTCGAAGGTTTTCCATCAGTCCGTCTCCATCCTTATAGAAATCCCCCACCATTTAGCACACTCCTTCCAAATCCATTTCGCTACTTTGCATCTCAGAAACAGGTGGGCTGAGTCTTCATCTTCCTCCTCGCAGAGCCTACACTTCACATCATCCATCACACTGTCAATTCCTTTTTTCAACAAGTTCTTTTTGGTTGGTATTTTATCAAGCACAACTCTCCAGTTAAATGCTGCAATTTTGCTTGGAATACTGTGATTCCAGATTCTTTTAAAGCATTTTTCATTTGGAGTCTGCTGGGCATTTAACAGCAGTGAATAAGCTGATGAAGATGAGTACTTGCCGTCCCTCTTGTGCACCCACTCCCATTTGTCTGTGATTCCTGGTTGCATTTTCACTTCCTCGATCATTTTTGATAGCTCATAGGCCGACTCTTCTTCCTATTCCATCAATATTCTTCTCCACTTTAATTTCCATTCCCATGTTCCATTAAGCTCTCTCCCCATTTGGTAGCATTTTTTCTCCTTATTTGTTGATAACAAATATAATCTAGGAAACGAATTAGCAAGACAACGCCTCCCACACCACTCATCCCACCAGAAGCTCACCTCTTTACCCTCCCCCATCTTTAATCTAAACCCCTTTGCTAACCAGCCAACATTGTCCCTCTTAGCATTATTAATCCTTTGGACGTCACTCCACCATAAAGAGCCCCCCTCATTTCCATTTCTCACCCAGTTCTGCCAATGTCCCCCTCCCCCTCCATATTTTCCTCTAATGACTCTTTTCCATAGACCCTCTTCTTCTGTTGCTAACCGACCCCACCATTTCCCCACTAGCGCTAAATTAAACTTCTTTAAATCTTTCACACCTAGCCCCTCGTACTCCTTATCTTTGCAAATCATATCCCACTTTACCCAATTAATTTTTCTCTCCACTCCTTTTCCCCCCCATAAAAAATTTCTACGAATTTTATCAATTGAATTAAGCGTACCTTTTGGGATCAAGTAGACGGACATCAAGAACACGGGAAGACTAGACAACACTGAGTTAATAAGTGTAATTCGACCACCTTGGGAGAGATACCACCCTTTCCAACTCAACAATTTCTTCGTAACCGAATCAAGCAATGGCTGCCACATCTTAAGCCTTCTATGGTTCCCCCCAATGGGAATCCCCAGGTATTTGATCGGGAATTCCCCTTCTTTACAGCCTAGTCTATAGGCCATTTTGTTTCTCCAATCGTCATCCACCCCTATGCCCATTAGCTGACATTTTCCAAAGTTTATTTTCAGCCCTGCTGCCATTTCGAATGTCCTCAAAATACACTTAATTGTCCTTACATTTTGCTCGGAGGCCTCCCCAAAGAATATGGTGTCATCCACAAATTGTAAGTGAATAACTGTTACTGTATCCTTTCCGACCTCCACACCCTTATACAGCTTTTTGTCAATAGCTACTGTCATCAATCCATTTAGACCCTCTACCACAATCAGGAATAAAAAGGGGGATAGAGGGTCTCCTTGTCGGATGCCTTTTGTGACCGGAAATTGACGTGTTGGACTCCCATTGATTAGAATTGAGACCATGCTCGATTTCAAGCATTCTTGGATCCACCTCCTCCAAGTAGCACTAAAGGCCATTCGATCTAGCATATAATCAATAAAGTTCCAGTACACCTTGTCGTATGCTTTCTCGAAATCCACTTTGAACACAAAGCTTTTCTTCCTCCTCCTCTTCGCTTCATCAATTACTTCGTTTGCAATGACTACTCCATCCACCAATTGTCTACCCTTAATAAATGCCATTTGTTGTTCCCCGATGATCTTATGTAGCACTTTGCAAAGGCGGCTTGCTAGTAATTTTGCAATCACCTTATACATGACACCAATGAGGGATATGGGTCTATATTCTTCAATTGTTTGAGGATTCTCGGTTTTAGGGATCAACACAATGAATGAGGCATTAGACCCTCTTACTAATCTGCCCTGTTCTTGGAATTCCTTTACAAATCCGATCACCTCGGTTTTAATGTCATCCCACATGGACTTCATGAATCTAAAATTGAAGCTGTCCAGGCCTGGGGCTTTAGAAGAGTCACACTCCTAAATGACTTTCCTAATTTCCTCTTCAGAGAAAGGTGCTATGAGGAGCTCATTATCAGTTTGGGATATCTGATTAAAGCCAATTTCATCAAGTTTGGGTCGCTGCCATACCTCTTCTGTGAATAGATTCTGGAAATATTCTGCCACCCCATCCTTTATTTCTGTCACTCCAGTGAGTTGTTTTCCATTAACTAGAATGCTGCAAATTTCATTTCTTCTTCTTCTTCCATTTACACTTCTATGAAAGAACTTGGTGTTTGCATCCCCTTCTTTGAGCCACATACTCTCCTTGATTTTTAAGTTGTTCCATAGATCAATAAAGCACCTTCTCCTTCTACTATGTCTATGTGAGTCAATAGACTATTTTCTCCTTTCTTATCCAGCTTTTCAATCTCTACTTCAACCTCCTTAATTTTCTTATCAATTGCTGTCATTGAGCTTCCGCTCCACAACTTGAGAGCATTTTTAGTGAATTTCAGCCTTTCCTTCAACCTAAGTCCATATCCGCCATTCACTTCACAAGATTTCCATGCATTTCTAATAGTTTCTATGCATCCTGGTTGATCCATCCAAGCATTAAAAAATTTGAACGGTTTCGGCCCCCAATCCACCTTCTCATTCTTCAGTAAAATAGGACAATGATTTGACACTGTTCTTCTTAGGCCCAACTATTTCACATCTTTCCATTTTAGTACCCATTCATTTGAAAGCAAGAATCTGTCAATTCTACTCATTTGCAACCCATTTGAGTTATACCATGTAAGCTTCCTTCCAACTAATGGTAAATCTATCAATTTAGCTTCATGAATAAAACAATTGAATTCCCTCATTTCTCTAGTTATTTCTCTACTCCCACGCCATTCCCCTGCTGTTTTAATGGCATTAAAATCCCCTTCCAAGCACCATCTTCCCCTCCTATTACAGATCAAGCACTGTAACTCCTCCCAAAGACCTCTTTTGCCAGCTAAAGTACATGGGGAATATATATTTAAAATATATACTAGCGTCTCCTCCTCCCCCCAGACCCCATATACTCCAATAAAATTATTACCCTCCAAAATCTCGCGTTTCTTAAACACCTTTGAATTCCACACACAAAGCAAGCCTCCTAACATACCATTAGATGGTTTAAAACTTCAATCAAAATCCACCGAACCCCAAATCCTATTGCACATATATCTATCAATCTTCTCTAATTTAGTCTCCTGCACTAATAAAAACTCAACCTTCTCTTTTGTAACCAACTCCCTAATTTGTCTTCTCTTCTCGGCCCCCCAGTCCTCTTACATTAAATGACAAAAAAATCATTCTTAATTGCACATACCTCCTCCCTCGACTCGGTTACATTCTTTTCCCGGTTAGCTTTTGCCTAATTGTCTCTGCATTCCAATTCGTCAATCCTTTGTATTATTTCTTCCTCATTTTAGGCCACTGCTCTCAGTTGCTTCGCTATTTCCCATATCTCCTTAGCCAACTCTTTCTTCAACTACTTCTTGATTGATCTATTGCAGTTTTGAATACAGTTGTCTCCAATAGACTCCCCAGCTACTTCTCCTGTTGGGCTTGCCACGAAACCCGGTTGTGCTCTGTTTTCCACAAAGCCTCGCCTTCTTCCTCTTCGGCCTCTTCTTTCTTGCCAAAATTGTTGTGTGAATCCCTCTTTCGAGTAAACCAAACTGCATGATCTGATTCGCCTCTTGCTCTTCTTTGGGATCCCTTCGGCTTTTCCTTCTATCCATTCTGCTAGCCTGTCCTCTTCCCTCTCATACCCTATCTCGAAGGGTTCGTGGCCTCCATTATTGATGTTCACCGACCCTGCTTCCCTTTGACTACCTGTAGCTCCATTATCTAAAGAGTTTTGGGCCTTCTTCAAAGTGCTATTTTGGGCCTTCTCCACATTGGTAGACTCCTCCCCTACTGGTATTTTTCCTTCTTATTGGACTCCTCCTTAGACCTCATTTTACTATGTTCGTTTAGGCCCAAAAGATACTCTTCCTCATTCATGAGCCCAGCTGATGTTTCAAATCTCCCTCTCTTTCCCCCCGAAAGCTCCCTATCTATTTTGAAATCCCCTTCCATCTCGGTTTGAATTTTTTGCAGGGTGTCAGTAACCCTATCAACTGTCATCTCACTTCCCCTCAAGGCTTGTGCTATAGGTTTATCGTTGCTCTCCTCCCAGTAGCTTGCCATGTCATCATCATCAACCTCAGCTTCCTTGTGTCTTCCATTGTCACCTCGTGCTTCTTTTGCACCATCACTACCCAAATCCTCTTCCTCACTTTCCATCATCCAGGATTCCTGTTCTTCTGAGTCGCTTTGGAAGGTAGGCAAGAAATCCTGTTTCAAGGAAAAGAAGCCATTGGTAAACTCCTCCTCTGTGAACTTAATGTTGTAAATGGACCCATTAATCCTTATAGACCTCCTGACAGAAATTGTTCCCATGATTGGCGTTGATATTAAGAATCGGCCAATGTCGAATCTCCTCTTTTGGTTGGTGCTATCATCTACACAGATAAACTTCCCCCATGCACAACTCATTTCAGCAAAGAATTCTGATTTTCCATACATTTAGAGGAACTCCTTGGCACCTAATCCAAACAAATCTTTCAGATGCCACTTTCTCTGGTGTCCATGGGCTCACCTCTTCAAACCATTGCTCTAACCAATCTGATGCCATCTCTACCAGGTCCTTCAATTCCTCTTTATCATCACAATCTAGCAGCACCAATTTACCCCCCATTGCACGAATTCTATAAGAGAAATAGCTTTCCATATAGAACTTCTCCTGTAGATTTCGAACCATTTCAACGAAATGGACCTTCCCCACATAGCATCCTTTTAGCCATGAATATTCTTCTTCCTTTACATTGTAATCCATGCTAGGCCATTGTTCCCCCTGTCCTTTCTCCTTCCAGACTAGAGTTTTTTCTTTGCTTCGGAGGTCCGTTCTTATGCTACTTCCTCTATTATCCCTCCCGTGGCTCCTACTCCCATTGTCTTTCTGTTTTGCCTTTGCGTCGCCTCCTACTTCTATTCCATATTGTCCCTTCACCACCTCTGCATACGTCCTGTTTTGTATCTTTGGCTCCGCTCTTAGTAGCTTACTATGCTCCTCTTCCCTGTTCAGTTCTCCGTTTCTAAACCACGGAATATTCACCCATAGCTTGAAATTGCCAACCCATATCTGGTCAAGTCTCCTTTCCAACTCCTTTATGTTCTTCACATCCAAGAATCTCACAAATCTGAATCTATGTCCCTTCTTACTTCTTCTACTTGGGCTGTAGATGTTTAATACCCTTCCAAATTTTCAGAAAGTCATCCACATCTCTGCATAACTCCACTCCTCTGGGAAGTTGGTGAAGAAATATGGTGTTGCTTGTTTATACAGACCTCTGTTGTACGTTCCCCCAGTATTGGACTTCCATCCTTGCACTCTTCTTTGTTCCTCTGTTCGAAAGCTCCTCTGTTTGCTTCTCCTTCGTGATCTCCCATGTCCGTAACTCAGTGTTGGCCGTGCTGTCCGTGTTCGATGTCTATCTGCTCTCCCTCTCGCTCTACCTCTCATCTCTTTGTTTTCTCTAAGCCAAGAAGAGTTGATTTGACCCCATTTGCTCATTTCGCATGCTTTCTTCTTTTGCTTGCGCAGTTTATACGTGAGAAGAAAAAAGGGAGGAAGAATGGAAAAAGGAGTACTTGACGCTCATTTTCAAGTAAGATCTTTCATAAATTGTTCATTTATAGACTGAAAGCCGATTGGTGGCGTAGCCAGAAATTTGTATTAGAGAATAGAGAGGCAAAATTTTTAGGAGTTTTATGTTATTTAAATGTTAGGACTTAAATGATGACACGCATGCGGTTTGCTTGATCATGTTGACTAGGATTGTGAGTTAGAACCTCTTGTGATTGGTAACGGGAAAGTTGAGCAGCAGTTTGGAGAATGGCCCCGAGTCTCAACAGGAGAGGATGGTTATGTGTTTAATTAAAGCAAATGAGATTTTACGGGTGGGAAGGGTAGTTTGGAGATAGGATTAGGAGAGTGCATTACAATAGGGCCTTCTTTTTTTTTTTTTTTTCCTTCAGTGAAGGTAAGGCTGGCAAGGAAATGGGTGAGCCGGTGGGAGGGGGGGATAGGATGCTGGTTCTCCCACAGAGGGAGGAGCATGTGGTGTTAGGCAGTTCTGAAAATCAACCTGTTATGGTGGGTTATGCTGTAGAGAAGACGAATTGCATAAAACCTTGGAAGAGAGTAGCACGAGGGAAAGGGGTGATGAGCGAGAACTCTTTTAGCGGAGAGCGAGGTAAACTAAAAGTGAATGCTGACATGGAGGAGGCTACTGAGGAGGTTCTTCAGAATAAAAGATGCAAGAATGCTGAAACTGAGATTTTGGGTGTTCAAGGAGAATTGAATCGAGGGTGTTCCCCCACGAGTTTGTTTTCTTGTTTCTATATTTAGGACTTAGGGCCTGTTTGGTGTGGCTCCTAGCAGCTTTAGTTTTTGAATACTATTTATATCTCATGAATTTAAAGTTTTCTCTTAAAATTTTATATTTTTAAATATTTTTTAACTTCAAAAAGCTTTTAAACAGTAAAAGTTCAAAAATTTCAAACTCAAACTTCTCATAAACTTTTTTTTTATTTATTTTTCACTCACATTTTAACCTTTATAAAAGCTAAAGCTGTATTTTTCTCTCCAATAAAAATTTAAATTTATCACTCATAACAATACTCAAAAAGCAAAAACTCTCACAAGTCACACCAAACAAGCTCTTATACAGTACCCGTTTGGAGTACAAAATAAGGTTGGATTGAATAAAGTCAATAAGATAAGATTGATGATAAAAGTCTAATCTTATATTTAATATTTTATTAGACTAAATATAAAATTTATCCCCTAGTGAGTTTCGCAATGGGCAAAATTACATGGGAATAGTGACTTGAGGTTGGGCTGGTTTAAGCTACCCATTTGTTTTAATAGAAAATTGTAATAATAGCCCATTAGGTCCAAGTGGGATATTGGATTTGGTTTTGTTTAAGGCCACTAATCCCCTGTTCTCGCTATTGGAACTATATAATAATAATAATAATACATTTCCATTTCCTTTCCTATAAAAACAAATTTCTTTTTTTTAATTTGTGTGTTTAGGATGTAAATTAATTTTTATTAAATATGATATTTATATTTAATTTTATATAAATTTTTATATTAGTTTGATTAACATAAAATATAAAATTAAAATATAATATTTGTATTTAAAATTTATAAAAAAATATAAATCTAATATAAAAATTTATGTACAATTAATTCTAAACATATAAGTTAGAGAAACTCAAATATGAGAAGAAAAAATTTGCACTATTTGGTATAGTAAGTCACTTTACGGAGTGTGTATATTGAGGGTGCATGTCCGTATATGTAAGTATAAACTTAAAAATTTTTAGTTTTAAGCTTTCAAAAATATAAAAATTAGAACATCTTGACATTTAAGATGTCCATCACAGGTATTGTTGAGTTAATCCTATTCCTGAGACTTATTCAATGGTGGTTGTGATAAACGTTCTGAATGCAAGTACGTCTTGATTTTTCGAGCTTTCTTAAGTTTTTAAAATTGATATATAAAACTAGTATTTAATTAATTATCTAAAACAAAAATTTAAGTTTAATACCTAACTCAATGAGTAAATGTTTACTCATATTAGTTAGTTGGCAAAACAAAAGTTTTAACCTTTAAATTTGATATCAAATCACAGTTTTTAAAGCTTTGTTAATATAGTTTTAGTTTTTAATTTTTAATTTTAGTTTTCATCAATTATATAATTTTTAAATATTAAAATTAAAAATTAAAAATTAAAAATTTATTTGAGATATGTTTCAACAATAACAACAAAAAACTATATTAAAATTATTTTTATTCTTATTTTCTTAATGATTATAATAATATATTATAAAAACACGTGAAAATAAATGGATTTTTTTATTTTGAATTACAAAATTTACAAAAACTAAAACTAAAATTTAAAACGCCAAATTCTCTTTTTGCACATTAAACATTATTATTTTTTATAGTCAATATCCTTTAAAATTTTTATTTTCAATAAACACCCTCTATAATTTAAAACACATAAAAAACCTAAAATTAATAACTAAGTCATGTGCAAGTTAGGTTGCAAATAGAGGATTCAATCATTAACTTTTAGGTTTGTTATAGGTTTCAAATTGTAGAGGTGTGTAAACTATAAAAATAATAATATTTAAAGTGTAAATAGAAGGTTTAGCTAATTATAACGTATAATTATACTAAACAAAATCTAAATTAGTAAATATTCCACTCAATCCACATATATGTGTAATTGTAGAAAATAATCTAGTATAAAACCCAAGGTCTCACACCCATTTGAGAAAATTGCATAAACCAAAGATCCAGTCCAGCTTCTATGGAAACTCGGGTTGGGTCGGTCTACAAGGTATTGGGCCAGACTCTCTTCTTTTTGCTTCTAATCTATCTTTTCCAGGCGGATAATCTTGACTTTTTCTCCTCTTTGGTGCAGGAATCCTAATTTTAGCTTTCGGTGCCGGTCAATTCCAAAACAAAATATGAGCATGAGGATGGTCTCGTGATTTAATAGTAGTTTTTTTTTTTTAAAAGGGGTTTTTTTTTTTATTTTTTATTTTTTTGATAAAGAAAATTGTTAGGTTAGTAGGTTAATATCTGTTCTGAAAAGTATTGAAGTTGGAATGAAGAATGCATTTCACCGACTGTCCTTTTGGGCAGCAATGATCATCATTGGACCACAACACAAGAATGCAAAGGAGTTTTTATATTAAATTTAATAAATATGAGGTTTGAATTTCATATTTAATGTTTGAAATAAAATATAACTATGATATTTTTGAAAATACTGTTATCAATTCTGTTTCTAAAAATAAAAAAATAAAAGAAACAATTGAAATTATATTATTTTATAAGTATTAAAAAATTAAAAACTTAAAATAATCTTATTTCTCTTTAAAAAAAGGTGTTTTAACTTATTTTAATATATATTAATTAAAATGAATAGTTTAAAAATATTTTTTCATCTAGTTTTTCATAAATATGGTTGATAAATATTTTATTTTATTTTTCTATAATCTAGGCTATATTAAAATATAAATATAACTTATTTTTTTCAATTTAAGTGATTTTAGTTTAACTTTTAATTTTTTAAATATAAATTCTAAATAAAAATCAATAACCTATATAATATATTAAATTTTTATTTAAATTTTATATTTAAAAAATTAAATTAAAACTATTAAAATTGAATGAAAGTAGCAACAACTAAATGAAAAGTCAATAATCATTATTAATATCCTTTGACATCTACTAATTAATGTTTTACTTTTATTTGTCTTAAAACAATACTTTTTGTTTATTTTATTATTATCCTTTCAAGAATTTGATGGTAATTATTATTATTATTTATTATTATTCATTTCATTTTTAAAAAATAAAAATAATTTTTTATAATAATAATATAAATAATTATAATTAAAGTTGAGAAATGATTATAAATTTTTTTAAATAAAAAAATATA